TTGTTGTCGTCGCACCGCTCTCGATATCTGGTTAAGACAGAGACACGGGCAGCAGACGTGACCCCAGCGACACACCAGAGCACGGCTGGGCGTGTGAGCCGCCATCTTGGACTGTGAGGCGAGTATTTGCAACCGGGAGCTCGCCGCCGCCCCTACACCGCCGCCGCCGCCCTCCCGGTGGCAGAAAATAGCCCAACTCGAAGAGTGCGCCCACCTCTCGGTATGAATCTGGGTGCAGGCGCGGGACTAGAGAGGCACACTGGTGCGCGGTTGGGGGCGCGAGCCGCCATCTTGGACTGTGAGGCGAGTATTTGCAACCGGGAGCTCGCCGCCGCCCCTACACCGCCGCCGCCGCCCTCCCGGTGGCAGATAATAGCCCCAGTCGAAGAGTGCGTCCCGCCCTCGGTATCTGGGTGGCAGGCGGGACTAGAGAGGCACACTGGTGCACGGACGGGGGCGCGGCCGCCATCTTGGACGGTGAGGCGAGTGCGTTTGCAACCGGGAGCCTGCCGCCGCCCGTAGATGGAAGGTCGACGCTGCGGCCTGCGTCGAGAGTGTGTCGACCTCAACTGCTGGGAGAGTTCATCCCACCATCAGCACCGTGTATTCGCTCACAGCACGCCATGATACTCATATAGGTCTAGTGCACACTTCAGCTCAGCGAGACCAATATCTCCAGCCTCCTTCATCTTGGCTTGCTGCTTGGGACATGGGAGCCAACACTTGCAAAAGTGAGTGTCAGAGTGTGTGTCGGAACTCGGTGGAAGCATCCGTCCTCATTCTGAGCAGGGCTGTGCTTTGGTGGGGCTGTGCTTGATCATGTGTGAAGTGGGAGTGCGTGCCGGCGCTGTCTGAGGGTAAAACAGGCATGAAATAGCCTCGTGTGGGGTGTTATGAGCCGGTGTGAGCTTGGAGACCCGAGATAAGTGCGGTTTGGGACAGCTCGGGCTTGCTACCGATGGGCCTGGGCCAGGAGAGCGGCAGGGAAGGCGAGGTGGTGAGCTGGCAGGCTGGGGAGTCGGCATGTGTGCGTGTCGCGATGAGCCTGCCAAAAAGCGTTGTTTGCGGCTATTGCTCAAGAATTTGGGAGAGAAGGCCTGCGTTTTATGACTGCATCCGTGCGTTTGGTGCATGAGGGCTGTGGATCGGGACATATCACGGTCGATGGCGCCGATAACGACCTCCGGAATGCCCTCGCAATCGCTTGGCATGGGGCCACCGGGACAATCTCGAGGCCTCTCCGTGGCATCACGAGCCGGTGTGAGCTTGGAGACCCGAGATAAGTGCGGTTTGGGACAGCTCGGGCTTGCTACCGATAGGCCTGGGCCAGGGGAGCGGCAGGGAAGGCGAGGCGGTGAGCTGAGAGGCTGGAGAGTCCGCGTGTGACCTTGTCGCGATGAAGTGCCACGAAGCGCTACTTCCTGCTCCCAGCTCACCGCCTTGCCTTCCCTGCCGCCCTCCTGGCCCAGACCCATCAGTAGCACGCCCGAGCTGTCCCGAACCGCACTTACCTTGGGTCTGCAAGCTCACACCGGCTCGTGATGGCACGCAGAGGGCTCGAGATTGTCTCCGGTGGACCCCATCCGAGGCGATTGCGAGGGCTTTCCGGAGGCCATCACCGGCGCCACCGACCGTGAAATGTCCCGACCCGCAGCCCTCATGCACCAGGCGCATAGATGCAGTCATAATATGTAGGCCTTCTCTCCCGACGTTTTGAGCAATAGCCGCAAAAGGTGCTTTTCGGCAGTTCATCGCGACACGTCCAGGTGCCGACGAAGCGGCTTCCCAGCTCACCACCTCGCCTTCTCTGTCGCTCTCCTGGCCCAGGACCATCGGTAGCATGCCTGAGCTATCCCGAACCGCACTTGTCTCGGGTGTTCAAGCTCACACCGGCTCGTGATGCCACGGAGAGGGCTCGAGATTGTCCCGGTGGCCGGTGGACCCATCCGAGGCGATTGCGAGAGGGCATTTCGGAGGTCATTATATCGGCGCCACGCGATATCCCGTCCCGCAGTCCTCATGCACCAGGGGCATGGGTTCAGTCATAATATGTAGGCCTTCGCTCCCACAGTTTTGAGCAATCGCCGCAAACATGCGCTTCTTGGCACTTGTGTGCGCGAACACGCGGTCACACGCCGCGCGGACTCTCCAGCCTCGCTCAGCTCACCACCTCGCCATCTCTGTCGCTCTCCTGGCCCAGGCCCATCCGTAGCAAGCCCGAGCTGTCCCAAACCGCACTTATCTCGGGCCGTCAAGCTCACACCGGCTCAAACGACCCACATACGGGCCCTCACACGCACATTACAGATCATAGACGCCACCGAACCCGCCGCCCGGACGCGCGGGTACGCACCGCCGCGCGTGCCGTCGCCGCGAGTACGGGAGCGAGCACGCGTGTGTGCGCCGCGCCTTCGGCCGGTCGCCCTCGCCGCCGCCACAGCGCTGCCACGGCGGCAGCAGCCTCGGCGCCGCCGCCCGCCGCCGCCCAGACGCGCGGGTACGCCGCGCCGCGCGTGCCGTCGCCGTCGAGCGAGCGCCACGGTGCCGGTCGTCGCCGCGCGCGAGCAAGCGTGGCGCTCCTTCTGCTGCAGGCGCGGCGGGCAGCGCCCGCTACGACGCCTCGCAGGCTGAGCCTCGGCGGCGTCGAGGTCGGTCGCGCTCGCTCCCGCGGGCGCGGCGGTCGCCACCGATCCGGACGCGGCCATGGCGGCCCTCGCGGCCGGCGCGCAAGCCGCAGAGCCTGCCGGAGGTGCCACCCGAGCGGCGAGGTGAGTCGGTGGCGGCGGTGGCGAGGCCTATGGCGGTGCGAGCGGGGCTGATAGAGGCTCGTCGATAGTGCATCGGCTCGGAGGCTGCGATTAGCGGCTAATCACCAGGTGAACGCAACTGCGCCGCTCGCCACCAAAACGCCGCCGAGAGCCGCCGCCGGCTGCGTCGCGACCGCCGCCGCGCGGCTCGCGGCGGTGGACCCAGCGTCGCCGCTCGGAGCCGCCTATATACTCGACCAAGACTCGGGCTCACGGCCGGGTGAGCGACGGGCTGGTTGACGGCCGCCGGCGACCTAGCACGGCGCTGCACGCCGCCGAGACGCCGCCGAGAGCCGCCGCCGGCTGCGTCGCGACCGCCGCCGCGCGGCTCGCGGCGGTGGACCCAGCATCTCCGCTCGGCGCCGCCTATATACTCGACCGAGACTCGGGTCACGGCCGGGAGAGCGACGGGGCTGGTAGACGGCTGCCGGCGACCTAGCACGGCGCTACACGCCGCAGAGACGCCGCCGAGAGCCGCCGCCGGCTGCGTCGCGACAACTGAGTCCGCGCGCCACGCGCGGGCGAGGGGAGCGGCGACGGGGCGGTGGGCGACGAGCCGCAGCAGCTGCGCCTAAAAATGAGGTGGCGGCGGGAACTAGAGCGTCATCTGCTGCCGTGCGGGGAAGCGATCACCGCCCTCGAGCGCGCCGCGGCAGTAGTCCGTCCGAACCAACGCGACAGCTCGGTCCGCGCGCCGTGCTCGCGCGGCGGTGAGGGGGGCGGCGGTGGGCGGTGCCGGCGGCGAGCCGCAGCAGCGCAACGGCCACGCAAAGGCTGCGGCCTGAGAGCGCCGGAGAGGAGGCGCTCAAGATGGTGGCGCATGTCAACAGCGCTCCTCCGGAGCAATCGATTCGGAGACCTCGCCGCCGCCTCGCCGCGGGGCTGAGCCGGCACAACCTTCGGGCTTTCATGTCTGCGGCCGCCCGCCACCGAGGAGCGCCTTTTTCTTTTTTGTCGTACTGCAACTCAAAACAACTTACCTTCCTACCGTCACGCCTACCTACCTTATCCACTAGCTCTCGAACCAAAACACACATCATCAGTTGCGGAAGGCTCGAGTTGTACTCTGATACAGACTACCCAACCCACACACTGAGTGAGGGCCAGGTTGCAGGCAGGCAGCCCTGGTCGATCGAAATAAATACAAGCCGGCAAAGCCGGCGGTCGCAGCCGTGCTCTAGAGAGATATCGCAGTCTCAAGTGAGCTTCCAGGCTGAGCCGGTGCAGCGTTTGCCGGAGCAGCAGCCGTCGCCGAAGAATAATCGTATCCCCACGCCCCGTATTCGAACCCCTCGTCGCATATCTCGTCTTGTGCCTCACCCGCCCTCGCCACCGAGTCTGCCCAATTGTCGCTCTCCGCTGCCGGTGCTGGCGTGTCTCCTAGGTAGCTGTTGAGAGCTTGCACAAACTCATCGAGTGAATGCACGACGACAAACACAGCACCCGCCCGAACCAACCGTGTGCGCCACTCCTGTTGGCGCGTTGCAGCCGAGCACCGGGTACTTTCACCTCGACTGCCAAGCCGATCTCGTTGAAGGCTCCTCGCCAGTGCACGAAAACATCCGGGTAGCCGCTCGAGCTCCCGGTTGTTCGGAGTGCGTTCCATCGTATGGCGCCAAGGCGACCGCCGCCAAGGAAGGCGCCATTGACAGAACCCACAAAGGGCATGTCAGGCCAGTGTTCGCGCAAAAAGTGAGCGATTGCCTTCTGTATCTCATGCTCGCGGCGATGCCGAGAACGCGTCATGTTGAGCACGGCGCGACTGTTATGACTTTGCGAAAAAAGTTTGTTTTAGAATCGCGAGTGTTCAGTGAGATCAATCGAATAAGTACACTATAGTCCCGGTGACCACCCGCAACCATTCGAGGCGATTTGCAACGCTTTTACTGCATTTTTTTGAAAAACCCCACCCTATATGAGATACCAAGCCTGGGTATTTCGATTGCGGCTGTAAGTTCACTGTAAGACTTATCTTGTTTTGTTTGTGAGCTGTGAAACGCATCCATGGAAAACAATATTTCCTGGCCCGTGCGCTGGGTTCCGGAGCCAGATAGGGGGTCAAACCTGGCGAGGCACTCCCACGCCTCAGGTCATGCGCCCCCGGGCAAGGGAACCCGAGATGCCGGGCAAGGGCGTAGAAGACCCTTATGCCGGGGTGTGGGGCGTGCCTTGGCGAGGTCCTCCAAGGCTGGAAGTCGCTCGCCAGGGCAAACGGGAAATGCGACTTCTGCTGACGTTCCTCCTCGTCTTCCTCGCCTACCTCGACATTTGCACTCCGCCCACGCGGCTCCCTGACGAGGTGGACGGCGCGGACGCCGTCGGAGCGGCAATGGACGGCCTCTGGCGGCTCACGCCGGCTCAGCAAGCGCTGGCCGCCGCCGCAGCGACCGCGGCGAATATGGTGTGGTGCCGCTTCGCCTTTGGTGACCACCGCAAGATGCCCGCGACATGGTGCGCCGCTGGGCTGCTCGTCGGCCTGTCCGGCTGGGCACTGCGGCAGTGGTCCAAGGCTGTGCTCGCCGACAGCTTCTCGTACCAGATCTCTGCGCCACCCTCTCTCCTCAGCGGCGGGCCGTACACCTACCTGGTCCACCCCGGCTACAGCGGCATCTACCTCCACCTCGCCGGCGCCTCCATGCTCAACATGGGAGGCAGCAAATGGCTGCGCGTACCTGTGACCGTCGCGACCGTTGCCCTCGCCGTCGCGGTCGGAGGGAAGCACCGGGTGGCACCGGAAGAGCGGCTGCTCCAATCGCAGTTTGGAGACGCGTGGGCCGCGCACGTCCAGGCTAGGTGGAGGCTGCTGGCGTACCCCGCCTGAGCGCTGCGCCTGTGGTCCGCGGCCCCGGCTGGTACGTTTCACACTAGGAGCCAAAGCGCTGCAGTGGTGCATGGACATGCGTGACTGGCGTGTGATGAATATTTCGAATCTCTCGTCGTAGTGTGCGCGGGGAGAGGGCGTGTGTGCGGGGGCGCCCGTGAGGCGCGTGAGCGCCACGCGCCGGCGCGGACAGAGAATATCTCAGCGGGACAGCGGCGGGATCGGAACCCAGGACGGGGGGCGCCAAGACGGCGGCGAAGCCGTGGAGGAGAGGGGGGGGGGAAGAAGGGCGGGCGTGTCTCACCGCAAACAACCTGCCGTCTCCAGTCTGTCCTGGTGTCCAAACTTCAGCACTTAACGCCACAATTCTCACGCCACCTACGATGAGTCCGACTTCCACTTCGGTTGGTTACCAGATCAGACACACACACCAGAGAGAGCGAGAGGCACGCGAGAGAGTGTGCCACGAGGAAACCCACACCGCCGCATTACGTACATACCACTGTGTGCTACACAAGGTCGACATCAAAGACGTGGTATTCTCAAGGGGAGCATACTGTTCGGAACGGCGCTGCGCAGCTCACGCTGCACGCCTGCTGCGACGTCGCACTCTGTGCGCCCGGCCTGACCAGACCGTGCGCATGGTGCGCGCCTGCAGATGCGCAGCAGCGCCGACTCCTCCGTACACGCCCCGACCCCTGGAAGCGTCTCGCCAGGGGCCCTCACCAGTCTTCAGGGTGGACCGTACTCGCCCTAGGCAGCGGCAACGGCAGCGCAGAGCGCAAACATGGAGCCCCGCTAGACTAGTCCCATGGCGGGAGGGCGGCCGGGGGGGTCTATGCGGCGCCGCTCGCAGCAGCGATCCGCTCGATCCGCTCGCGCTGCTGTATCCACTTGCGCAGCTGGCACGCCTGCGGCGCGGGGGATGGGCAAGGGCAGTTGGCGTGGTTAGCCGAGGTTCGGCAAGGAGGGCGGCGGCGCGTGGAGGGCGCGTCACCTCGACCTCGGGGTGATTGCGGCACGTCGGCTTGATGCGTGAGGACACCGGCCGCTGCATAGCCTGCGCGAGCAGGCGGGTCGGCAGTCGGGGGAGGGAAGGAGGCTGCCTCGCAGGACGGGGCTCGGCGCGGCGCCTCGCGCACGACTTCCAGCTTGAAGGCGGCCGAGTGGTAGCGGCGCTTCTGCGCCTGGCTCTTCTCTCGCTTCTTCGACGGGGGTGCGAGCCGCGGGCCGCACTTCGCGCTGGCCGTAAGGATCATGCCGCCTCCCTGGCAGTAAGGATCAGGCGCGAGGGAGAAGAACTGCAGCAGGCCCGCCGCCTCGATCTGCTCGACATCGGCTCCGGTTTCGGAGACGCGCGCGACCGCGCCGAGCTTGGAGGCCGACTCGGCCGGAGAAGTCGGCTCGGGCGACTCCGCTGCGTGAGCGGGCAGCATGGACAAACTAATGACTAGTCTATACCCCTGACGTAATTGTGGTTGGGCCGAGCAGCTACCCGGGTACTGTGAACAGACTGTGAATGTGAATTTCGACATAACTGGCCCAACCCTCCATCATTCGCCTTTCCACCCCTACAGTCCAAAGCAAAAGTCTTTGCCGGCACACACACACAAACAAAATGGAGCGGGGCTAGGGTTGCGCAGCTATCGTGAACAGGAGCGAGTTCGCGCTGCGCTAGGCTCAGACGGCACCCGCGGGGATGGTTGTGTGGTTGCCTCCTCGACTCGGACGGCCGCCTCAGAGGGCGGGAATGCTTCCTCTCGCCCTCTCACCCGCGGGAGATGGCCGAGTCCACGGAGCCGCACGCTGCCTCTCCTTGGACGCAAGGCTCCGACTTCTATAGAGAAAACCCCATCTGCTGGCCCTCGCCCTCAGTTGCCAGGGCTGTGGGCTGCAGAATTGGCGTCGGTGGCATCTACGCAGGCTCTGCAGCGTGATGGCTCGAGGCCGCACTTTTTTGAGGGCCATGAAATTTAAGGTGTTGCTGCGCAAAAGGGGCGGGGCGCGGGCGCGCGCGGCTCGCCTAGAGCTCGTTTTGGAGATCAGACCTTTCGATGATTCATGCTTTCTAGCATGTCTTGAGCACTTGAGCACTTGATAGGGTCGATTCCGCGTGGTACGGGACCCCTCGATCGTCTCGCCCTCCCTCACTGGTGTGTTCATTGGGGGGGGTCATAACAAACACGGTACAGGATCGAGGTGCACGCTGCTGAGTGAGGGACCCCAGAGGGTAGATCGAGCAGTGTCGTCCCCCCTCTCCATCATCTTCCTGGGAGACGTCGGCGGCCGCGATGGCGGTGTGACCGATCGAGCTACAAGAGGAGCTTGTTCAGCAGGATCCAGGATAGTCTCGTGCACTACCTCACTGGGTCTGAGATCATCGAGACGCCTCCCATCACCGTCTCGGATTCGTGTGGAGTCGAACCACTCCGGGATTGTGTGCGCCACAGCAGCCTGTGAGGTGATCGAGAAGCACAATTCTCAGAACGATGGGCTTGCCATCGCGCATCGGGCTGCGCTCGGGCGAGGCGCGCGCGCGCATGGCAGGCCGAGCAGGCTCGGCATATGGTGAACTCCCGATGTCGCGATGGCTGTCCCGCTTTTCCCGCGATCATTTCGTCCGTCCAATCGAAGGAAGCGCCGCCCAGTTATGGCGTGTGCCAAACTTGTTACCGTTCTTCGTCCGAGATTCCGTGGTTTTTGCCTGAGGGAGGGTGTAGAGGATGTAGAGTGTAGAGCGCTGTAGAGCTGTAGAGATGTAGAGCGCTCTGGAGCGCTGTAGAGCTGTAGAGCTCTACATCCGCCGCGGGACGAAGCGCCTCCGTTGTAGAGCGATGTAGAGCGCGATTTTGCTGTAGAGTTTGTTGTAGAGGCTCTACAGCCAAACCGCCGGGAAGGCAGTGACTCAAAGAGGTCGAGCCGCGCTAATGGGGTGTCTCCGAGCTTACTGGAGCTCTGATGGACAGCCCTGACTATCCCTGACACACAGAGAGTCCCTCTGACGGCAAACAACACCCTATAACTGCGTCATGACCAGCCTGCCATGTGTCGCCGGTGCCGCATTCGTCGCTGTGCTTCTTTAGCAGGCGGTGGACTGTCGGCTGCGAGGACGGTCGCATTTGCGCGAGGCGAGGCGAGCATTGCTGCGCGTTGCATGCGCCATGCCTCGCGCCAGCGCGTGCGGGAGCTCCTGGCTGAGCGTTGAGTCCAGGCGAGTTGCGCTGGGCCACTATCACTACGCCGAGCCGAGCTGACGCGCCGAGGCGCCGGCCAGTCGCAGCCGTGAGGCATGCCACAGCAGCAGAGGCACCTGCCACCCATTGGGCGGGCAGACAGAAGGCCAGGGCCGCACTGGCAAGTGCAACGCGCCTCATGTCGGAGAGCGACCGTGCCTCGTTCGCCGCTTACGATGAAGAGTTTGTTGTACGTACTTTTAGCTTACTGGGAGAAAAGAGAGAGGGGGTTGTGTTCCCTAGTGTAGACATTTCACGTTGTAGAGCGCCTCTACATCGCTCTACAACGGAGGCGCTTCGTCCCGCGGCGGATGTAGAGCTCTACAGCTCTACAGCGCTCTACAGCGCTCTACAGCGCTCTAGATCTCTACAGCTCTACAGCGCTCTACACTCTACCATCCTCTACACCCTCCCTCCCTCAGGTTTTTCAGTGTATGTAGCTCTTACGAACATACCCGTAGGTGAACTGCTGACGGGGTTTGCGATTTTTGCACGGCATTCGGATTTTCGCTATTTGGTTGTGTGGGTGTGAATCCCGGGATTAGTCGATGGTTACGCGTCGGCGACGCGGGCGCCTTGCGGGCAGAGCCCTTAGCCACCCTTTATCTTGCGCGGTCATAAACTACAAGAAGAAAAACTACAATTTGTTTGTTGGCCCAACCCTCGCGCCTCGGCATTCATTCGGCCTTTCTCACCCCTACAGTCCAAAGCAAAGTCTTGCCAACATACACACAAATCGTTCGGCGAGAGCAGCCACTGGCACGGATCGGACCCATCACCCCCCTCCCCCCCCGCCCCCCCCAAACTGATGACGTAACGACAACGGACGCTCCGCTCCCCGAAGAGCAGGCCGGACCGACCCGATCTGGATGAAAAGCGCAATGCTCGGATACACGGAGAAAGAGGCCTCGCCGCCGTACGGGCTCCTCGGTGCCCCCCAGCAGCGTCAATCGGCACCGCTCCGCCTCGTCGGCGCGGGTCTCGGGGTGCTCTTTGGATGCTTTGTCCTCGTTGGCTTCACAACGGGAAGCCTCCCGACGCTCCTCTTGCGCGACTCCGCTGGGCAGCTTGGCGCGTGGGACCAATGCGGCGGCATGGCGTACACCGGGTCGACAAAGTGCCGTCGGCCCCAACCACCAACCCGCAGCCACCACATGCCCGTCCCAGCGGCCCAGCCTCTGCGACAGCCTCCCGCACACCGCTGCCACCACCGCCTTGTCCGCCACCCTCCAGGTGTCCCAAGGACTATGTGTGCTCGGCGCGTCAGCCCGGTTTCTCCCAGTGCGTGCCCGGATGGATCCCCCTCTGGTACTCCGCCTGGCGCACGGGCGACGTGGACGATGACATTTTGGTGGCGCTCGCCGCGGGAGGGAAGGACGATGCAAAGCCCGCCTCGCCTGGCCCGTGGGGGCAGTGCGGCGGCGCAAAGTACGCTGGTCCCACGAAGTGCCCCAACGACTACGCATGCAAGTACCGCAGCGTCACGCTCAGCCAGTGCATCCCCTCGAGCATCGCCAAATGGATACCCGACTACCCGCACAACGACGAGCCTGGCGACAAGGAAAAGTCTGACGACAAGCAGAGCAAGCACGACTCGGACAAGGCGTGCGCTGGGCCCTCGACCTCTCTCCCTCCCTCGCGCAGCGGCCAGCAGCTCTAGCAGCCCGAGACTCACGCGTGCCGTGTTCTGCTGTAAGGACGACAAGCCCGACGACGACAAGCACGGATCGGACAAGGATGACAAGAAGGACGACGAGAAGGGCGACAAGAAGGACGACGAGAAGGACGACGAGAAGGACGACAAGAAGGGCGACAAGAAGGGCGACGCTCCCTCCCTTTCCCTGCTGCTTGCCATGAAGAGTAGTGACGTTGGGAGCTGCTGCTACAGCAAGACTGGCCCCTCTGACTGCGAGCACCCGGGCGACTGGTGCAGCAAGACTGAGGCGAAGTGTACGGATTGTGGAGGTACTTTCTGGACCGCTAAGCAGATCGACGACTTTAAGCACCGCAAGGTGCGCCAAGCTGAGCCTCCAGCATTCTTCCTCCAGATGCGGCACTCAGAGCCCGCCTCCCGTGGTTCAGGACGAAAAGAAGGACGGCGACAAGGATGACAAGGGTGGCGAGAAGGACAAGGACGACAAGAAAGACGACAAGAAGGTGAGCCCCCCCGACCCCCCCCCCACACAGCGTAAAAGCAGCATTGCCCATGAAACATTCAAACCTAGATTCAAAACTTATAGGACGGGGGAAAGGACGACGGCAAGAAGGATGACTAGGCCTCCAAACGATGTGTGCCGGCGATAATCCGGCTGATTCCATGCGTTCATATGCCTGCACAGGCTGCTCCCCTCTGTTCCCTCCCCACGGATCCTGGACGTGGTGATAGTTCCGGGCTGGGTCTGTTGAGCGAGACGAGGCGACGGCCGGCGGGCGGACACAACTAGTCGCCGACAATGCAGTTTTCGACGCAGCCCCTGCCCATTGGCTAGTAGACTCTCTGGAGTTCGGGGGCCGCCGCTGACTGACTCGAGGAGGCTGAATTCTTTTCTGTATTGAAGCTGAAGCTTCTGTTCGTTCGTCTCCACGGCGCTGTTGCGTGGCAAACGGTCAGCACGCGCTACTACCGTCTTTGGATCGCTGGTGTCGAGCGACTTCGGGGGATGCCCCGCGCGCCTGACCCAGGCGCGAAAACGAATCTGCGAGGCGTGGCCGCTTATGCGGCCCGATGGGGAGGAACGGGGCGAGCCCCCTCCAACCCACCCGCGCTAGGTCTCGGGTTTGACGCATGGGGTCACTCCCGCGAAACTCGTGAACTAGAGCCGGGGCAGTCGGAGAAGGGGCAACTCCGTGCACTGACGGTCGGCCGTCAGAAAACACGCCTGCGTGGATCGCGTCACACCAATCCTCGCTACCCAACGCGGCCAAAGGATATCCACCTCGAGAAGCTCGAGAATACCCGCGGATTCTTTTTTGAAAAACCACGCCAGCGCGAGACCAGCGCGCGAGACTCCGGGCCCTCTGGGAGGGTGGCGAGGCTGACTCCGTGCACACCGCGCATGCTCCGGCGTCGACGCTCTCACGTCCTCCTCTGGTCCTCGCCCGACGTGGGAGGCACTCCGCTCGGGCGCGTGCGAGTCGAGCTGGACCGGCGCTTCCGCCGCCTGCCACACCCGCAGGACGCGATCGATGCCTCCTGGCGCGCGGCCCTCGAGTCCAACGGAAGGCTCTTTGACGGTAGCAAATTCAGGCTGGCAGCGTTGGCGTGTGCCGACGAGGGCGACGGCGCGCGCCTCGTGCTGCGCCTCGGCATGACGGGTTACAAAGAGTACCTCGGCACCAACCAGGCACCACGCGAGCAGCGGCTGCGTCTGGCCGCCGACGGCGAGCGGCTGCACGGCGACGCAGGCGCCTTCCTCTCGAACGCGCTCGGGTGCGAGACGGTCCTCGTCACGGCCGACGGACAGATCGCCCTGCTCCGTCGCTCGTCGGCGGTGGCGACGCACGGAGGGCTCTTCAACGGTCCGAGCGGACATCCCGAGCCGTCGCGCGCCCGTGTCGAGGAGGAGCCGGACTGCGCCGCAGCGGCAGAGGCGGCCGCGCGGCTGGCCGTCGAGGAGCTCTTCGACTCTGTGACGCAGGAGACGCACGAGGAGACCAACGTGCCGCGCGCCGCGCTGCTCCCCCCTCGCTGCATCGGCTGCATGGCGGCGGCCGACGAGCACGGGTGCGTGGGCAAGCCGGACCTTCTCTTCGTCACACGGACGACGCTCGACGCCGCGGCCGTGCGGGCCGCCTACGAGCAGGGGGCGGCGGAGGGGTGGGAGTCAGACCGCCTCGCCTTCTTCCCAGCCGACGTCCGCCTCGGCGAGGGCGGCGTCGAGCTGACGCCCGTCACGTGCTGCGCGCTGCTCGAGGTGCGGCGAGATATGGGGAGATATGGGGAGATACGGAGAGATGTGATGGTGCTGCGCGCTGCTCGAGGTGCGGCGGCGCCGCACCCGCCTCGACTCCTCTCCACGGCCCCTCTCATGCTCCCTCTCGCTACACGCCACCCCTCGCCAGCCGCCTGTTGCGCCGGCTGAGCCGTCGCGCCGCCGAAGAGCGCGGGCTGCTGTATCTGTGCGGCGGAGGGACGCTGGGGGATGAGTGCAGATCAGCGCCACTCGAGCTGAGCGCCGAACCCGCCCGAGCAGGTCGCCAGGCACCTCACGGCGGGCCAGTCCGACACCGAGCTGCGCCGGGCGCTCGAGGCGTGGGGCGACGAGGTGCGGGCGGAGCTGGAGAGCGGCGAGCCGGATGCCGGGGCCCCCGGCCCTGCCGCTGCGCCGCCGCGAGAGGCGGGTGCCGGCCCTCGAGGCGGGAGGAGGGTGTTGCAGCGCGGGCTGGACTTGCTCCTCGCGGTGCCGCCGCCGCTGGCCGAGGAGCACAGGAGCACGACGCCTCCGCCGGCGAGCGAGGACGCGGCCAAGGACCCGACGGGCGTGGGTCAGGTCTGGCAGGAGGCGACGGATCTGCTGTGCGACTACCTCGAGGCGGCGGGCGGGGCGGCGGTCGCCCGCACCTTCGGCACGGTCGTCGAGCTCGGCGCGGGGGCGGGCGTGTGCGGGCTCGTGGCGGCGCGGTGCGGTGCGGCGCGGGTCAACCGACTACCACCCGGCCGTCCTCGAGCTGTGAATGCAGAGCTGTGAATGAAGAGCTGTGAGCAGGTCGTGCTCACCGACTACCACTCGGCCGTCCTCGAGGCCCTCCGCGCCAACGTGGTGCGCAACGGCTTGACGTCGAGTTGCGAGGTTGGCGGGGGCCCGGGGGAGCGAGGAGAGGGCGGGGGGGGGAAGGGGCGGGAGCGGGGCGGGTGAGGCGGGGCGGAGACGGGGCGCAGACCGGGCTGGCATGGCGAGACACACTTCCAGAGAGAAGACGCTTGCTCGCTCGAAGGGCCGCTGGTGATGCCCTAGGTGTCGGCGCTTTCGTGGGGCGAGGCGGCGGCGGCGGGCGAAGCCGCAGCGCTCGGCCCTCCTGGAGCGCAGCGGCTGCTCCTTGGCTCCGACCTCGCCCCGAGCGAGGCTGCGGCGCGGCTGCTCGGCTCCACGGTCGTCCGGCTCCTCGGCCACGGTGACACCCCCGGTCTCCTCGCGGCGTCGAAAGGCGCCATGAGTCGCCGCTCCCCTGTCCCTTCCCGCTGCGTGCAGGCGGCGTCTTCCTTTTGTCGCACCGAGAGCGGCGAGCCGTCTACTTGGACCGAGTGTCGGGGGCCGTAGTCACGGAGGCGACCGACTCGGCGCTGCAGGCGCGCCGTCGCCGAATGTGGCACACCCACGTTGCGCCCACGTGTGAGCCCCAAGATTGCCCGCAGGCGCTGCTCGCCGCGCTGGCTCCGCTCGAGTGCCGGACGATCCACGCTCGGCATTGTGCGCCGGAGGAGCCGGAGCGTGTGCTCCTTCTCGCCATCGGCGATGCGGCGGCCGTGGCGGCGATGCCCCCTTGGGCCGGACGCGTCGACGGCGGCCCGGCTCCCGTCTCGCCGGCGGCCGCCGACCCTGTGCGCACGCCCAGGATTGACGCGCGTGAGCGCGCCGCTTTTGAGCGCGACGGCTTCGTCGTCCTCGATCGGCTGCTGAGCGCGGAGGTGTGCGCCTTGCTCAACCAGAGGCTCGAGCTCGTGCTGCGCGGCGAGTTTGATCTGGGGCGGCCGCCCGACAAGGTGCCCCGCTTCAAGGCGGAGACACGGTGCAAGGCGGGCAAGCAGCCGCCGCCCCTCGGCGGGCCCTCGAAGACCACCCTCCAGCTGATCAACGTCCACAAGGCGGACGCTGCATTCCGGGACGTCGTGTGCTCGCCGTCGCTCGGCCGAGCCGTCTCTCGACTCGGCGGGTGGGCGGGGGCGCGGGTGGCCAACGACCAGGTGTGGGCCAAGCCGCCCGGCGCGGCGCCGCTCACTTTCCACCGCGATTCGGCCTACTTCGACTTTGTGCCCTCCGACGTGATCACCGTCTGGCTCGCGCTCGACGACATGGACGACGACGTCGGCCCGCTGCAGTACGTGCCGGGCTCGCACCGATGGGAGGACGGCCGCGTCGGGTCGGCCCAGCAGTTCTTCGACAAGGACCGGTTCGCGCTCCTGCACAGCGCGGCGAGGCGGGAGGGCCTTGACCCCTCCGCCGAGCTCGGCCTCGTGACGGTCGGCGTGCGGATGGGCGGTTGTGGCATCCACAATGGCCGTTTGTGGCACGGGTCGGATCGGAATGCGAGCGCTCGGCCGCGCCGCGGACTCGGCATTCACTTCGTGCCAGCCGACGCCGTGTTCAGGGACGCCGAGGGGAAGACATTGGCGCATTCAATCCAGCCCAGGCCTGACGGGGCTGCGCCGGGCGTTGAGCTCGATGGCCACGCATTTCCCATCACGTACTTGTCACGAGCCGGCGAGCAGAATTCTAGAGATAGTTGTGGTGATATCCGACAGTGATCAGTGCTCATCCCGCACTCTTTCCGCGCCTCTACGCACGCGCGTTCATTCATGTGAGTTTCGCTCTCCGCAGCTCTGTGTGCGGTCTTACATGGTGTTAAACCTTAGTTTAAGCCTTGACGTCTGACGCGCGTACCGTTGGCGATGCGTTGCCGTTGGACGGTTGCACGCTCGGCAGCCAGAGGGCACGGGGGTACGGCACTCACGCGACGGCCCCACGCGCAGCGATCCGGCGTCCAGCACCAGGTGTAACATTCTGTTGCCCCGACTCTACGGGTTGCCACAGTCACAATATGGACAACATCGCAACCGTGCTTGCGTGCTAGTGCGCACCTGCCAGCCTCGGAAAGAGGTGGTTTTGTAACCTGCGTTGGCCGGCGCCTCCTCGGCCTCCGCCTCTTGCTCGGCCTCTTGCTCAGCCTTGGCGGACGCTGCGCCCCCAGAGTTGTGGGGGCGTGCCCTGATTCAGCTCTTCGAGAGGCCGCTGAGAGCACCGCCCAAAGACACCCTGTGGTCGCCCACTGTGCCTCTCCCTCCGGCACACCTCGGGCTCCGGGGAGGAGACGGCCCAGAGGCGCGCGAGCGAATCGAGCGGCACCTCGATTGCCTCCGCCCGCGAGCTAGTGCTGCCGCCCGCAGCGACGGAGGGCTCGAGGGGGGCACCGCCAGAATGCTGCCCCTGTGACGAAGACGAGTAGCCCGGACGGCGAGGCTGAGGCAGAGGCCTGGCGTCATACCCAGCTCGTCACACCATGAGGCGGGGCGTCGTCGGGCTGGAGGAGCTTCTCCTCGGGCTCACGGGCAGCGGCGCTTCCACCGCCCCCCTGCCTAGTCCGACGACTTGAGACTCCACGTCCGACGCCTCGCTCCCGCGCGACTCGCGCGGCAAGAGCGGAGACGGGTCCGCAGACCCCTCGCTCCGCCGCGCCGCCGCAGGGAACCGACCTCCGCCCGCCGAACCTCCGCTGTGCCGGCCTGCCGGGCGGCGCGCGCCCGCCCCTCCACCGCGCCCTCCGGCACTCGCGGGTGTCGCGGGAGTCCTCGGGGACGGCTCGCTGCCGGTGAGGCGGGAGGAGACCTACAGCGCAAGCCGTGTCGCTCGGCGTCGCTGCCCGTGGGGAGAGTATGCTCGTTAGGATGGCGGTCAGAACCAATCGCGGGGAGAGGCAGCCGCGGGCAATCTCGGCGAGCTCGCGGGCAATCTCGGGCAATCTCGGGCCCACCTCCTCCACGGCGGACAGCGTGGTGGAGGCCACGGCGGCGCACTCCTCCTCGCCGGCCATGTCCAAGCAGACGCGCGGGTCAACGTCGAAGATCGCCTGCTCACGCCGACACGGCGTGCGTGGCGCAGACAGAGCTCGGACAAGCGGCGGGGCCGGGCTGACGAGCGCCGAACTGCTCCCCTGCCGCGTCGAGAGCTGCGCCGCCGCCAGCGCGTGCGGCGAGGGTGAGCCTAGTCTCGCCCGGTCTCGGCTGGTCTCGGCTGGCCTCGGCTGATCTCGGCTGATCTCGGCTGATCTCGGCTGATCTCGGCTGGCCTCGGCTGATCTCGGCTGGCCTCGGCTGATCTCGGCTGATCTCGTGCCAGGGGGAGGGGGCGCGCCGCCGCGGCCAAAGGACGAGGCGGAGGAGGAGGAGGTGTGGCGCGCGGCCGCGGCCTCGAGAGATGGCGGCCGCTGCTGGCGCCGGCCCTCCTCAGGGGCCTCCGCCGCCGCTGCCCCGAAGGGCTTGAGCGGGCCGACGGTCGAGACGGCGGAGCCCTCTGCGAGCTCGTCGTCCGCCGTCGGAGGGGGCGGACGCGCGGCGCCGCCGTCGCCGGGTTCGGCCGCGGCGCCGCCGTGCTCCTTGGCGATCGCGTCGGTGCGGCGGCGGCGAGCCTGCTGGGCAAGGGCGAGCGGAGACGAGCCGCGCGCGTCCGGCGGCTGCTTGCCCTCGGCTGGCAGCGGCCCCGAGTCGGCCGTGCGCAACCGCGAGTGGAGGAAGGGGTGGGCGAGCGCCTCCCAGGCGGAGGCGCGGCGGCGCGGCTGCGTGCAGAGCAGCGCCTGGAGGAAGCGGACTGCGGCGTCGCTGAGCTCGTTCCACGCCTGCCGATGCGGGCGCCGAGGGGCGAGGTCGGGGGACGAGACCGGGGGACCAGGCCGGGGGGCGAGGCAAGGGGCGACGAGGCGTGGTGGCCGAGGGGTGCCACCAACGCGTGGCCGAGGGGTGCCACCGCCGGGCTCGCCTGCAGCTATATCGGCTGACCTCGGCTGACCTCGGCTGACCTCGGCTGATCTCGGCTGATCTCGGCTGATCTCTTGCCAGGGGAAGGGCTCGCCTGCAGCTGCGTCGTCGGGTACGTCGCGGTGCGCACGTTCCGCCGGAGGTGCGTCTCCGGGTCGTTTGCGGGGAGCTTGTACGGGTCGAAAGGAGGCTCTCCGAGGAGCAGCTCGTACGAGACGCAGCCGAGCGCCCAGAGGTCGCACATCGGGCCGTACGCGCGCGACCACACCTCGGGCGCCAAGTTGCACGGCGTGCCAATCTGCTATATCTCGGCTATATCTCGGCTATCTCTCGGCTATCTCTCGGCTATCTCTCGCACACCTCGGGCGCCATGTTGCACGGCGTGCCAATCTGCTCGGTGAGCTGCGACCACGCCTTGAAGGCCCTCAGCTCTGGCGAGGCGGCCGAGTCGACATATGGCGTCTTGGCCGCGGTTGCGGCGCCCAGGTCGGTGATCTTGACCACGAACTCGGCCGAGCGGGAGGAGAGGAGCAGGTTTGGCAGCTTGATGTCTCGGTGAGCGATCCCGTTGGCGTGCAGGTAGGCGAGGCCGGACAGGACCTGGTGCAAGCAACGGCCCGCCTCGCCCTCCGTCCAGCCCTTTGCGCGCGAGACGTGCGACGAGAGGTCGCCCCCGGACACCATCTCGAGGACGGCCCACACCCGCGTCGGCGAGGCGAACGACTCGTGCAGCCCAACCACGTGCCTGTGCCGCACCCGCCGCAGAAGCGCAACCTCGTGCTCGACGGCGCGGAGGAGCGATGGCTCGCCGCGCACGCCGATCCGCTTGAGCGCGAACGCCTCGCCCGTCACGCGCTCCGTCACTCGAAACACGTCCGACGTCGCGCCGCTTCCCACGCGCCGGCCGAGCTTGTACCGCCGAGCCACGTCGTGAGCCACGACGGCGTCGATGCGACGGTCGTGCTCCTCGAGGAAGGCGGCCTCGCTGGCGAGACGCAGCGCGCTGTACGTGCCGCCCCACCGCAGCGAGGCGAGGAGCGCCGCGAGCAGCAGCGAGAGCACCGCCGTCGCCGTCAGTCCGGCGATTGTGAGCGGATTGGTTGTGCTCGGGTCCATCTGGCGGCGGCGGTCGGCGAGCCGGTTGAGGGTGGAACGGCGCGTTGCCGATGCGCGTGCGTTCTATGTCGGCTGAGGTCTCCTCTCTTGCTGCGCTGGGGGCGGCTGGCTGCGTCGGCCTGGCCGGCTTGCGCCGCCCTGTCTTCTGCTGTCTGGCGCTCTTCAAGCGCCGGGGCGGCTCGGCCAAAGAGACAAAAAAAATAATTCGCGGGCGCTCACCGATTCTTGCACGGACTGTGTTTCGCCTTCCCATCAATCAATCAATCTTGCAGCAACCTTCATGCCACCTCGCGGTCGTCCCACTCTCGAGCGAGAGAGATTTTCAATACCAAACAACTCTAACACTCACACATGTGACATGTTTTGTTTGCACTCTCGTCGGACTGGAAGGAGGTTTAGCGCACCGCCCGCGACAAAAACAGCAGCGTACACCGTCCGCGGCGGCTACCTGACTGAGTTTTACCCCAAGAGCCCGCGACCCCAAGAGTTTTTACCGCTCCCCGAGCCCGAGTCCCTTCCAGCTACCGACGCGATTCTCTCCTCCGTTCAAAAAAATAAAAAAATGTATGTATGTAGGAAGGTGAAGAACAGCCAGGCTCGGACTGGACACCAACGCGGTATGGGTGGACTAGCGAGGTGTTTCTGCTGCCCGAGTTTTTCTCTCCCACACCTGTGTTAGTGCCAGTGCGCGCCAGTCCCGTGCCCAGTGTTGTGCGAGCCAGCAATTCTCTCCCACTTCTGACCTCGATCAGCCCGCTTGATGGACCTCGTCTCGCTCTCTTTCCTCTGCCTCTCCAGCGCGTTGCTCTCGCGGCCCGCGCTGCTGCCGGTCAGCGCCGTGTCTCGGTCACGTGCGCCCCTGTGCGGCGCCCCGCCTCACGGCTCACACGGCGAGCCGCCGCAGCAACCGTCGTCAGAGGCCGAGGCCAAGGCTGCGTGGCTAGCCGGCCGGCGCCAGCCGCTGGCCGGGAACGCGGCCGTGCCGCCTCCGCCCGCGCCTGCTCCACCCGCACCACCAGCCCACGGCGGTCTCGAGATGCTCAAGTCTGCAATCGAGGCTGCAGAAGCGAGGACGGCGTGGCTGGCCAGGCAGGAGCCGCAGCCGACGGCGCTCGGACAGCCGCCACCGCTATCGCCGCCTCCGCTGTCCTTTCCGACCCCGGCCGCAGTGCCTGCGGTCCCGCCGCCGCAGTCCGCCCCGCCCCCGCCCGCCGCGGTCATGGCGCCGCTGCCCGCCTTTCCTGGCCCGCCCGCGCCTTTGGTGATGGCGCCCCCGCCGTCGGTGCCAGACCTGCCTGTCCCTTCCGAGGCAGACGCAAAGGCGGCCTGGCTCTCCAGTCGAGGTCCGCCAGCCGCGCTCCCCCAGCCACCGGTTCCGCCGCCCGCGCCCGCCCCGCCGCCGCTGGCCGGCGGCCTCGACTCGCTGATGTCGACCATCCGTGAGTCGGCGGCCAAGGCGTCTTGGCTGGCGCGGCAGGACCCGCCGCCACCGCCGCCGCCGCCGCCACCGCCGCCACCGCCACCGCCGCCGCCGCCGCCGACGCCGCCGTTTCCCGTCGCGCCTCCTCTGCCCCCGCCAGTGATGGCGCCGCCTCCGACGGCGGTGGACCTACCGCCGCGGCCCTCGGAGGCAGGGGTCGCGGGAGGTGGCTGGCCAGGCGGGCAGGGCTTGTCGTCGCAGCAGGAGACTGCTTTCCCGGGGCAGGCCCCGGCCTCTCACGAGGGGCAGCAGGGGCAGGGGCAGGGGCAGGGGCAGCAGGGGCAGGGGCAGGGGCGGCAGGAGGAGGTTCAGTCTCCGATCGAGGTGCTGCGCGGCCGCATGGGGGAGCAGGAGGCGGCCGGCGCGGCGTCGGGGCCGCAGCCGGGCGCTGGCCACGAGCAGCGCAAGGCGCAGGGCGCGAGGAGGGCCGTCTTTCGCAACTCGCAGCTGCCGTACAACGGCGACCTGCAGGCCGCGATGAAGGCGGGGGACCGAGACGCGATCCGCGCGCTGATGGCCGCGCGCGACCGGAAGAAGCACGATTGGATGCCCGCGCCGGGAGAGGAGGTGCCCCTGCCGGGCCGCGAGGAGGAGTACGAGGCCTTCAAGGCGGCGCAGGCGGCCATGCCGATGGCGGAGGAGCCCGCCTACGCGCCGCCGCCGATCGACGCCGAGCGGCGCAGCCGCTCGCCCGGCTTGCAAAACAACTTTTACGACAAGTCGACGGCGGACTTCAAGCGGCCGTACGGGGTGCGTGGCGCGCCGCCCGATGCGCCGCCGCCCGTCGTGGCTGCTGGCGTCGGCGGCGTCGACTCAACGAGGGACGACGCGCCGCCCGCCTACGGCGCCGAGGCCCAGACGCCTGGCAACGCCGCCGCCGCCGCCGCCGCCGCTGCCAACGCCGCCGCCGCAGCTAAGGCCGCAAGCGACCACGCGCTTGCCCAGCATCGGAGGAATCGGATGAAGAATGGGGCGGCGGCGGCCATGTCGCGCCCCGCGCCCCGCCCCATCTCCCGCCAGCCGTTGCAGCCCGCCGCCGCTCTGCCGTCGCCCCCGCCCCCGTTTCCTGCTCCTCCTCCTGCTCCTCAAGGCAACCCACCGGTCCAGCCAAGCCTGGGATACTCCCTCTCGCAGCCAAGCGAGGAGACCCCGATGCCGGGACGAGAGAAGGAGTACGAGGCCTTCAAGGCGGCGCAGGCGGCGAGCGGCCAGGCCCCGGGCGGACCCGCCTACGCGCCGCCGCCGATCGACGCCGAGCGGCGCAGCCGCTCTCCCGGGCTGCAGAACAACTTCTACGAGGTGTCGACGGCGGACTTCAAGCGGCCCTACGGGATGTCGCCCGCGGCCCCGGAAGCGCCGCCCGCGGATGCCGGCGACGCCGGCGCCGGCTCGACGAGAGACAACGCGCCGCTCTCCTACGGCGCCGAGACTCCGATGCCCGGCCGCGAGGGCGAGTACGAGGCCTTCCAGGCGCAGGGCGGCGCTGGGGCTGCAGCGGGGCGTTCGCACATGCCGCCGCCGATCGACGCCGAGCGGCGCAGCCGCTCGCCCGGCTTGCAGAACAACTTCTACGACCTCCCTACGGCGGACTTCAAGCGGCCGCACGGCGTTGCGCCAGGTGCCGCGCCGCCCGCCGCTCCGCCGTCTGTCGCGGCTGTCGGCTCGACGAGAGACAACGCAACGCCCGCCTACGGCACCGAGACTCCGATGCCCGGCCGCGAGGGCGAGTACGAGGCCTTCCAGGCGCAGGGCGGCGCTGGGGCTCCGGACGGACCCGCCTACGCGCCGCCGCCGATTGACGCCGAGCGGCGCAGCCGCTCTCCCGGCCTGCAAAACAACTTCTACGACAAGTCGACGGCGGACTTCAAGCGGCCCTACGGGGTGGCACCGGGTGCGGCGCCCGCCGCTCCGCCGTCCGCAGCGACGAGAGACAACGCAACGCCTTCCTACGGGGCCGGGAGGGAGGGCGAGGCCTTCCAGGCGCAGGGCGGCGCGGCGGTACCGGCCAGCGCGCCGCCGCCGATCGACGCCGAGCGGCGCAGCCGCTCGCCCGGCTTGCAGAACAACTTCTACGACCTCCCTACGGCGGACTTCAAGCGGCCGCACGGCGTTGCGCCAGGTGCCGCGCCGCCCGCGGCGAGCGTCGGCGAGAGTGCTCTGCCGCCGGCTGGATACGTCAGCGGAGGCGGCCATGCACCCCAGCCCGTCGGCGGGACGGGTATTCCGGCCCACGCAGCCGCCCCGGCCAGCGGCATGCCGGAGCATGTCACCCGCGACGCCTCGCCGGCCGCCCCGCCAGTCTCGGACGCGAACGGAGCGCTCCTCGAGAGCATCTGCAAGACCATCGACGCGCTCGCCGCCGTCACCGCCGGGGATGAGGAGGCGGCGCGCCTTCACCTCGAGGCCATTCAGCGGCACGCGGAGAGGTCGTTGCGGAGGCGCGGCGGTGCAGGGGGCGGCGGCGGTGGAGGGGGAGGAGGTGGTTGGGGCGCGGATGGCGACGCCGCCGATCGCCGATGACGATGGAGTCTGTGTGGGTCATCGAAGCAACTCTATCTCGAAGTAGGCTCGCGAGGCGAAGTGTTTAAGTCGCGATCTTGGTTGTCCTTGAAAGAAAGGCAAGAGCAGAGCTGCGTACTCTGTCATGTAGTCCAGAGTGTAGAGAGAGCTCAGAGGCCCACGCCCAGGCGCCGGCTCGTACGAGAAGCTCGTCTTCTCTCAAAAAGTCAAACAAGGTCAAGCTTGTGTGTGTCAAAAAAAACTCACGGTCACGCACACGCTGTGCACACATACGTGCAACACAAGCCGCTACAGTATCACGCATGTGCGGCGAACTCAGGGGCCATCCTCATCCTCTCCTCATCCACACACACACATCACACGTAGAAAATACCGATCTTCTCGCCCCCCCCCCCCCCCGCGAGCATTTTTCGAGAGGCGGTCACGCGCCGATTAGTGTGTCAAGGAGCCTCTCCACTTGGCGAAGCAGCCCGCCCACGTCCTCCAGTCCCGCCATCGCGTTTGCCTTTGCCACAGCACCACCAATGGTGCTGGTAGCGCCCTCGCGCGGGATCTCGAGCGCAATGCAGATGGCGTCCACCTACTCACAACGGCTCCGGCTCGGGGGAGCGTCTCCCCCTCTCCACAGTGGCCAATGGCCAGCCACACACCTTTTGCGGCAGCGTGGCGCTGTCCAACGCGGCGCGCTCCCGCCTGAGCTCGGCCATCGCCGCCTCAGCCGCCGCCACCTCGGCCGCCGCCTCCGCCGCCGCCGCCTCGGCCGCCGCCTCGGCCGCTACCGCCTCGGCCGCCGCTGCCTCGGCCGCCGCCTCCGCCGCCTGCCTCGCCGCTTGACGCGCCGCCTCCGCCGCCGCGTCGCACTCCCGCATCTGCTTCTCCAACATCTCTTCCTCGAAGGTGCGCGCCGCACCCCTCGCCGCGCCCCAACCCGCCAACGGGATGACGCACTCCGCCGCCTCCGCCGCCTCCGCCTCCGCCGCCGCCTCCGCCTCCGCCGCCG